GGAGCATCTATTAATGATGCTTTTTTGGAAAGGGTTGTTGATATTGTCAATTCTTTATTTAATATAAATTATTTAAGTTATATTTGTTTATTAATATTTAATTATTGTTCGTAATTAATTATTATAGCATTCATTAAAAAATAATCATTTAATATTTTGTAGCTACAACAACTAAAATTATGTGTAGAAAATGGCTTTCTTGCACATTATTAAGGCTTCCAATACTTTCTACAATGACTTTTAAAAAATTACTTTCACCACAGTAATTTTATAATCACTTTTATAAAAAGTTACAACTGTCTCAAATAAACCTTTAGTAGTGTTAAATTAACAAAAAATTATTTGGATTGATATAAAAGTTAAGTTTTGCTCCTAATTAACTTTTTTAACCTTGCTTCTAATATTAAATTTATATTTACAAATGATACTTAACACTTCACTACAGGAAAACCCGTTATTACCGGCGCACAATTTTCCGCCAGAAAATTCGACGGTAATCGCGTGTTTTCCCGTAGTGCTTTTATCTAACTAAAACCACTTCTCATGATGAACATCGATTGGCATTTTAAATAATCAAATTTATAATAAATTGCTTTATTAACTTAGATTTCTATTAAATTAAAAAGAATTATGAAAAAAAAAAACTTAGATTTCTCAAAGTCCATTTATTGTACACTTTAGCTAAACTAATTGGTTTACAAAGAATTAAAAATGTCTATTCCATTTTTCCTATTGTTAAAAATATAGGGGATGATTGGTTAGAAGTAGAAACTATAACAAGTTGGATATTTAAAATTCCATAAAATCTTATTTCTTCACATAAAATCAATAAAACCATTAGGGCAACTTTAGGCCATCACTAAGTTTGTTCAATGCTGGCAATTTTATTGACAACCATAACATGTCGCCACGTGCTCTTACTCTTTACCGTGCGGCCCAACGACTTGATCGGAAACGGAACCCGGGAATGCTATGTTCGCGTATTGCGAGGTATTACTCGGTATTTGCTCAGTATTGCGCGGTATTGCTAGGTATTGTTTGGCAATAACGAAAAATACCGCTCTGTGAAGATCAATACCGAGTAATACCGAGCAATACTGAGTTGTACCGAGTTTTTCTAAAAAAACTCGGTATTGCTCGGTATTGCTCGGTATTTGTTCGGTATTGGTTATTGCCGAGCAAAATCGACCAATACCTAGCAATACCGAGTAATACCTAGAAAAATCGAGAAATACCGAGCCATCCTGGGTCCGTTCTTTGTCGGGTTGTCGGGGCGCGCGGTAAATAGTGAGAACGCGTGGCGCGATTCTACTGGCGACCGAACATAGAGCTACGTCCTGTGACCGGACCAAATAAAAGTTCTCTTTCTCGGCTGCGTACGCCAGAAGTTCATAATATTTATTATTTGACACTTCTCTGGAAAGGGATTGCCGTGCCAAAAATAACTGAGGAAATCAATGGAAAAAAAGAAGATGAAGAAAATTTCTAAGAAATATTATGAAGGAAAAGTAACAAGAATAGCTAAAACTTAAATAACTCATAATATAATATTCAGGCCTAGCTTTGGTTAACTCACATGACTTGAAAAAAAATTGGGGTTTAACTAGAAATATTGATTCAGTCATTTAATTCTTTTTTAATCAAATCTTGTATTAACTTAAAGAAAATTTTGGTTATTTTTACTAAGTTGTCTCTACTTCGAGTATATTTGTTCATTTTAGGTTGAGTTAATACTATCCCATCACGACTTAAAATATATGTTATTGTTGTGTCGGATTGTGGTCGAGTTTTGTCAGGTTAGATTTGGGTTGAGATTTTTGATTCATTTATTTAATGGATTGGGTTCATGTTGACTATATTTTTGTTGGGTCATCTATGGGTCTAACTCGAACTCGACTCGTGAAGATCAGTATCAGGCGTTCGTAGCTAACAAAAGTCGGATGCAATTCATTTATAGGCATTGGGAAATTATTAATAATAAATTTATAGCATATGCTTCCAAGTAGTTGAAATAATATAAGAGGAATTATCCAACATATGATTTAAAACTAGCTACTGTTGTATTTACACCGAAAATTTAGAGGCACTATTTATATGGAGTTATGTGTGAGATTTTCACTAATCATTAGAGTCTGAAGTATATTCACTCAGAAAGATTTGAATTTGTGACAACGAAGATGGCCTGAGCAGATTAAAAATTATGATTTAACTATTCAGCTTCAGTTAGGTAAGACGAATGTAGTGACTGATATCCTGAGCGGGAAATCTTCTAGAATATCAAATCTTTTGCTTACTTTTGACGAACACTTAATTCAGGATATGGAAAGACTAAAATTGGAGGTGATTGCTCCAATTGATTGGGATTTTGGCGTTTTTGCTTAGATGAGCATTCAACCATCTTTGTAGAAAAAGATTAAGGATGCTCATAAGTCAAATGCCTAGTATCTAAGATTAACTGATCAAATCAAGTCTAGTAAGAAACCCGAACTACAATTATCTAATTCTAGGGATATTTTTTGCAAGAATGGGCTATGACTTTCTAGTTCTGAAGATATGAGACAAGTAATCCTACATGAAGCTTACTATTCATCTAGGATGCAACAAAATATAAAATGATTTAAAAGACATGTTTTGGTAGTCTGGATGAAAGAAGAATGCAGCATATTTTATTTTTAAATGCGAGTCTTGTTAGTTGGTGAAAGCGAAACATCAACGACTACGAGATTTTCTACAATTTTTTTCAATTATGGAATGAAAATAGGAGGAAGTGACAACGAATTTTCTTATAGAATTTTCCAAATCTTATGATGCCCATAACCTAATTTGAAAGAACTATTTCTTTGATCTTTTATTATACAATAACCAGAGCTACCTAATTTCATATATCAATAATAAACAATAGAAATAAATTATATAATTCAAAATATCAATATACATCTATATTCATTGACCAAAAAATACACATATACAATACTTAAGAATTATATAATCATAACATATCCTTTGATTCTTGAGTACAAAAGAATAACTAAAATAATACGAAGCTGAACTTTAAAGGATCTTGATCAATCTCACACTCATGTTTCCTTGCCATGATCTGAAATTATTTAATCACATGTAATGAGCCGAATAGCTCAGTAGGTAACCAAATCCTATTACAAAACTTAAAGCATGACAAAGAAGCAATATGCATATCAATAATTAAATCATAACATTAACAATCATATGATTAAGAATCAGTGCATAAACAATAAAACTCACATGCAATAGCAATATAATATGAAATCATATTATTTACCAAACTTCCAAAATAAGCTATTTACATATTACTATTTAAAGCACCATAACAAAATATCATAATTAGCTATCTAATGGAGATTGGCTCTTAGGGCTTAATCATATAATATCAAACTTACTGCAATAATTGCATACATAACAATGAAATAGATTACATATGCAATAATTATAAGAATACAAAAGATTTAAGTGAAGCCAAAATTTAAGATCAAAAGATAAAGAGAAGCGACCATCAAATTAATTAAATAATAGTTTAAATGATTTTGTAATCTTTTTTTTAATTACCCATCGATATTTAGCTTGGTTGGTGGGCAAGTACGGTTGGGAACCCCCAATCCATGCTCAATTTCCCTCGAGCGGCACCTCTTAAGCTGTGCCCAATCAAGTGCAAGCCAGGAGGTTTCTGGGGTGGGTGCCTCTTCTAGGTCAACCGATGATTAATCACACTGTCAAGTGCCATTTTATGGGTTTAGGTATTTTCTTGATTTTGTAAAGACATGGCTAGTTTTATTTCATTAGTTCTTTTTTGATCTATGTGGCCATGTACTGTAGCGTAAATATTGTATATACATTTTGATGGAATGAAATAAAATTTATGGAAGAGTTATTTTATTCAGTTTATCGAAATTAATTAGAAGGTCTGTTGTTTGTTTTAAATTTTAATTGGAAGAAATATGGAAAGTTATTCAAAATTTAGATCTTGGGCATGACTTGTTCCAATCAAACACAGTATAACCTGTCTTTCTATGGGTCATATATATTAAGTTGGGTTGTGACAACCAGAGTGTTGGAGCTTTAACAATAGTAGGTGATTGACTTGGTCATTTTGTAATATGAGGCCAGACTAGATGATTAGGAAGACGATGATAGACATTAGTATCAAACAATTAATTGATGTTATTCATTTATAAGCATTAGCAAAAAGGAGCATCCAAAATTGAGTAATAAGTGATGGTTTTGAATGATTGTGGTTGGAAAACATCAAGTGTCAATGGTTGGAAGATATGGATATCAAGTGACAGTTGGTATTGGGTGATGGGAAATTATGGATATTGATGTTGGTTGATGATCAATATTGATTGATGGACAATAGTGAATATAAACATTGATTGATGGTTGAAATCGATTGTCAACATATGCTGGATGATGATGAGTATTGATGTCAATTGACAGATGATCATCGTCGTTACTGTGAGTCGACAATTGATGAGCTATGGTGGGCATTCTAGATTAAAGTTCTTCATTAAAACATGTAGAAATATAGCTTATTTGTAGATTTTTTTGTGGCATTCTAGCTAGAATTTGGGACACTCCATTTGATGATCATAATATGCTCAACCATTATATATTTTATTTTTATAAATTTAAGTATTTTAATGAACTCAATATTAAACTATATCGAACTCTTTAGATTGAACTTACCTAGACATGCACTTATTTTGACTATGAGTACATAAATTTCAAAGGAAATTTTACTTTTTAAAA